AAAGCAACAAATATAAATGAAAAATGTTACATCAGTTGGCTGTGTGATCTGTGGTTGAGAATTTGGCTTCAGGAGAGAATTTCACCATCATTCTAGTTCTTAGTTTTACAGCTTGATATGAATTGTACGGAGTATGTATGGGATCATTTTGTTTTCATTTCCAATTATGTTGTTTGTCTTTTTCTAATAAGGAACTAAATTGTACAAACAAATGATTTGATAAAGTCTTTCTTGTTTTTATTAAAAAATATAGCTGAATTACTGGAATTTTACTGTATGTGAACAAAATACCTCGAGGTTTTTAATTAGTGCTTTTTAAATTGCCCTGTGAAGTCTCTGCCTTCAAAATAAGTTTTCCACCAAAGCAGGCACTATTTTTATTAAAAAATGACTCTGTCAGTATCGGCCTATCAAATGAAATATGGGCTGTGTTTTTTCATTTTTAAGCCTTTCTGCAACACTGTTCAAGAAAATGAATACAGCCTTGCAGAAATAGCAAGAGCATAGTTCGACATAGTTTCATTATTTTTCCCAATCATAATGTTCTTTCCCTTCAATAGCTTTATTTATAGACTCTTATATTAGGCTCAACATGTTAAATCTTCCAAATATGGAATTACTACTCAATTTGATAAATGAAGGACTAGACTCTTCCCTGTTTGCTGATGCCTATTCAGAGCAGAGCTGTAGCAGTCAATGAACTGACAGCAGCTTAAAGCTCAGTGTGGAGCCTGGTGTTAAGGCTGTTACTGATTTTAGGAAGATTAAGGTCAGATCAGAGTGTGGTTTTTAACCTTACTTTTGCAGATACCAGAACTATGTTTTGAAACAAAAAAACCCAAAACTTTTATTTATTATCCTTTCGTGTTTTGTTAATTGATGGGTTCTTGCTGTCTGTATGGGCCCTAATTTATTAATATTGAATGGGTCAGATAAATTATTTTGGGTTTTGTGGTTATAGGTATTTGTTTTCTTTTTATAGGTACGTTTATCATAGCTCCAAGTGGATGGTGGCTGGTAATGCTGACTCCCCGGTACCGCCTCGTGTTTATATTCACCCCGATTCACCCGCCTCGGGGGAGACGTGGATGAGACAAGTGATCAGCTTCGACAAACTGAAGCTTACCAATAATGAGCTGGACGATCAAGGCCATGTGAGTACTTGCTCTTCTGCAGTGTTATATGTAGGCACATTGCTCAGCCCTGAAAGACTCTGACGTACAGCTTCAGGGTGCCAGAAATAGGCTTGACTTTTCAAAGCTGTTTTGGAACTTCACTATCCAGATCTAAAATCTGCTTACTTTCTGCTTCGATAATTAACTCCTTATTAGAGCCTGCTGTTTTACTCCCCCCCTCAAAAACAGAACTCCTCCTGCAAAGTAAGACTTTACAAGGCTAAATTGCCTAATATGAAGGGGCAGAATTGCTCTCATGTTTTCCCACCGAGTGTGTTACTTGCAATTTCTGCTCTGATCAAAAAGGACGCTTAAATTCACAAGTGGCTAGAAGAAACATTAATAGTGTGTAATAACTTCAGGTGAATAAAAATACACTTAGCTATTTTCTTAACCTAAACATTTGTGTAAAATCCCATGACGTGTTAATAATTGCAGTCAAAAACGAACAACATGGGAGCTGGGTTCGCCCCGGTAATGATTTATTACATACCTTATGAAGCAAGACCCTTTCACAGCTGAGGCTCATTACTTCTGAAAAAACTGGCGAAGACGTATGCAGTATGAATGTTCTGTTTGCAAGTTCTAAATTGTTTAGTTATGACATTATCTAATGTGACAAAATGTGTTATGTTAATATTTCCTTTTCTCTTCAAAACTGTTGAAACATGACAGATGTAAGCTAGTATCTTTCCAGCAATCCCTAAAATAGTTTTGCTTGACACCTTAGGAAACAATTAAAAAATGAGAATTGTTTTTGGTCAGGGTGAAGTCTTTAATTTTGCAAAATCCTGTAATAAATGGCAAATGTTGGCTTCCTTTCAGAAGGAGCATCGAGTTCCAAGTGGTAGAGTTTTAAGATGTTGGAGGCGAGTTTTGAGACAGGATGTGGATTCCATTGTCCTTAGCATAGCCCGATTTATTAACCAGGATACTTTCTCCTTCATGGAAGGGCGTGAAAGAAAATGTACCTGGCACGGAGTACAAAGATACTACATGCATCTTTCAGTATAGTTGTAACTCTGTGACATTAAGCCGGATATTTTGTCAATACCTAGTCCAAGTTTAAGTATGAGATTTCCCCCCCCCCCCCGTTTGTGCTTGCAACGGAGATTAATGTGAGACTCTGGTCATATTGTGCAGGAGCTACAACTTGTATGTTACAGAGGCGGGAATACAGGAGACTGGCTGGACTGAGCTAGCGAATATGATAACAAGGATAAAAAGCTCCCTTTCGTATAATACTGTTCATAATTTTATTGTGCACTTCCTTGAAAAGAACGTGAGGTTATTCACGTCTCTTAGCAGTGCTTTTGTTTGGGCTTGTAGGAAAGATGTTTTATATTGCTTCTTTCCAGAATTACAGTTATGGGGTCTCATTTGGCAGTGTCTGAGTTAAGGTTAGCAAACATAGTTCTCTTGGTTTCCCCAGATTCCTGTATTTGTGACTCTTCTGGAGTGCGAGTTGGCTTTCTCTGAGTCCTGAGTCTATTGTAAGGGCTTTAAAAAGTGAAGCAGATGCAAATGGGTAAAATGTCGCTTTTCCAGCGGAGAACAGACTGGCTGGTTTTTGTACTCCGCCGTTTCAGAGGGGTGATACGTGGGTACTGTTGTTCACCCCTGCACTTGCAGTCGCAAACTGCCCTGTGATAAAATCTTGGCTATGTAGAGAATTACATTGCTGTATTTTTCCATCCCAGATCTTACCTTTGTTTTTATTCTGAACTGAAACCTGTGTAGTGTACACAGCACGCCATTATTCATAATGTGGGGGGATATAAATTTTCTGGTCTTTAGTTAAAGTGTTTCGATTTGGAAACGAGTGAAGCAAAGCCCTAGTACAGTGATTTGAGACACATTGAACTGATTCAGAGCTATGGCAGTGCCCCTCCTCCCCAAAATGGAAATTTAAGTATTAAAATAAAAGGACAAAAGAAGGATGACTGTAAAATAATTTCATATTTCTCAAATCTGGGAAATTGCAAACATGTCATTCATAATTACCAGAAAAGGCAAAAGCAGAAAGCAGAAAAGTGTCTCTTCCAATGGGTACATTTTTTCTTTTAAAGCTATGGTAGTGTGGAATGCTGTATTGAAAAAGCTATGTAGCCTCTGAGTGCCTGCAGCAATAATGGAAAACGAATAATCATATTTTGTGATGAATATAAAAACCAATTGTTTCTCATAAGTGGGAAGGAACCATTTTTCTCAAGAGGGTACCAGGGGAGGAATGGGAGATTAGAAGAGCTAGGGGTCAAGGCTGTACTGTCCCTCAAAAACTTGTTTTTACGTCAAGTGTTCTGATTCTCCTACCTCTGTGTTGGAGATGGGGTATATTTCAGACTATTAGAAAGTGTTGGGGTTTTTCTTCCCCTCCTGCTTAGGCAGAATGGCTCAGAGAAACCTCGGCGGAGTCTCTAAACTCTGCCATCATTCCTCCAGTAGCTCAAGCAGTGTTGGGCTTTAGCTGTTTTCTTTGGGTGTGCTTTCCATGCTCTCTGGTTATGGGGCTTTAATCCTTGTCAAAATTGTTCTTTTATTCTTCCCGTGCTCCACAGAGGTGTCAGCTTTTGCAGAGTTTTTGTGTTAAAATCCCAGGGCTAGGTTTTGATCTTGCAGGTGTTGAGGTAGGGAGCTTGCACGAGGTCGACCCAGAGCCCATTTACCTATTCCAGAGTATTAACTTTCAAAACCAGTGAGAAAAGCGACCCACGTCCATGAGAGTGGGGACAGGATTTGCAAACAGACGCTGAGGTAGCAGTCCTGTGCAGTATTTATATTGTGGTGGTTTTTCATGGCAGCCAACTCCCCTTCCATTGCGTTGGCCTGAGATTAGCTTCTTATGAAAGGAGATCAGCCATCTCTAAACCAACTTGCTTCGCTGCTCGAACGCTTTCCGGGCTCCTTGCTGCCTGCTGCTATTTTCATCAGTATTTTGAATGGGAGTTTGTGATGATGTAATTTTATAGCGTTGTTCTGCGGAGAGATTTGAAAGTACATCTGCACGTAGGACACTCGCTGATACATGGGTTCCACTTGCAGGCTGAGGAGATCAAGCAAAGTTTGTAAGATTATATTTTCCTTGTGTGTTTTTGATTTCAAAAGAGAGTCCCAGGGTGAATTCCCTACTTTGGAAAGGTTGTGTGCTTATAGAGGCATTAAGGCCTGATGGCATCATTAAGACACATACTGTGGCATTTGTGTCTTTCATCTGAGTTGTGATGGTAAGGAAAAGTAAACCTGCGTTTTGCAGTTGACACTGAGAAGTCCGTGGTCTGGGTGCTCTTTGTTAATGCCTCTCATCCCTCTCTCATCTGAGGAGTACGTGCTGCATTGTAAAAGCAATCTCGCCCTCCGGCTGGTTAGAGCTGGCTGAATTTTTTTATTTTGATGCGGTTTTTAATCTGAATTTCAGTAGAGGGGGAAAAGTCAATATTTTTGATGGTATTTTCCATGCTTTTCAACTGAGGATGCAGAGGAACATTTTTTAAACTTTTAATGAAAATGAGGCTGTTAGCATGTTAATTGTTCCTTGGTGGCTTTTTTTTTCTTTTTTTTTCCCCATTTGAAAGTGGGGTGAGGCTGGAAGCAGAGGCAGACTGTTGCTCTGCCCAGACTTGGCTCCGAGCAGCAAGCTCTGCTTACAGTCAGTGGGTAGTTATATGTTCTTGTGACAATGAAAAGCTGGGAAACATCAGCATTTGCACTTGCAGTTTTTGTCTTTGTGAAGAGGGAATCCATGCTGCTCGGCCCCACACACTTCCCTGACTGCAGAAAGCCTGGGCTTTGCAGGGAGGATGAAGGAGGATTTTTGGTGAAAACAGCGTGAAGGTGAGGACCGCGCCGTTGTTGGGGAGGGGGCTGGGTAATCTGTGCACCACCAAGCTGCCCGAGGATTGGCATCTCCCTCACGAAAGAGAATCAGGCTCTCGCTTGTGCTGGCTGTGATGTTTGTGCCATGGCGGTACCCAAGCTCAGGGTCAGCACTGAGGCCTCATCATGGCAGCATCTCTCAAAAGCCATATTGCAGAGGTGATCCCAAAGATAATCCGAGTTTTGTGTGTCTGCACATGCCTTGGTTGCCTTTGCTCTGCCAGGTGGTTTTCTTGCCCTGCTGCCTACCTGCGGGCTCCCTGCTGCGGCATCTTCCGTCTGATAATGATGTCTTGACAGCTGCTGTGGTCAAAGTGTCATTTTACATGTGGCAGGAGAGGTTTATTCCCCCACAAAGTGTTTTGGAATTGCCCTGTGAGGGATTTGTAGATGGAGGCAGGCTCTTCCAGTTGAGTTGAAAGCAGTGCCAGTTTGTGCTTGGTGTTTTGTGGGACTTGTTCTGGTTGGGGTTTTTTATTGTTGGCTTTTTAGGATATGAAAGGAAAGTTGCTGCTTCTGCAGGTGAACTGTTGGATCCCATTTGTGCAGTTAAATGTGCAAGCGCTGTGAAATGAAAAGCTGGAATCTCCTTTTTCATAGCTTTTTCTTCACGGTAGCTTTAGGTGATGCTTAGAATAATAGAGCTAAATGACTTTTGGAGTGGGTGTTGCATCTCCCTCTCCTTTTATGCTCTGTCTTCGTAGTGCTGCTCTTTAATTCACCAGGGCTCTGCAGTTATGTGTTACTTATTTAGAATTCAGAGTCCTGATCATTAACAAAACTCCCATTGTACTAGGCATGGTACAAAATCAAGAAAAAAAAAAGTCTTGTTATGGATTTGCTAATCATCTAACAGTGTGTCAGGGCAGGAAACTTCAGTACAGCGCAGAGCCAAGCCAGGTTGCTCTTAGGAGACGACGAGGATCAGTTTAACTATAACAACCACCCAGATACGGAGTGGGAGGTGTTCGTCTCCATACTGCTGGGACTTCACTTGTTCTGATACATGAGCAGAGCTGTTCATGGCCGCCTGGGTTATCATTGCATATGGTCAAGTCCGCCGTGTAGGCAAGCGGTAGTTCGCACCCCAGAGCTGATGGGGTGAAGTAATCGGTGTGGGAGCAGAACGCAGCACGCTCAGTGGCACCCGGGCAAATGGCAAGGCACAGCATAGCCCTGGGTTTGAACAGTGGAACAGAGCTTTCCTTGATATTTTTTTTTTCTGTTGCACCAGTACCTTCCCTGGTATCACTGGGTGTTCACAGAAAAATAGAGTCAGGAATGTGCTGTCCTCTCGACGTTTTCTTTTTTCAGATCTTTGCCAGCGGAGAACTGAAAGGAGTGTTGTAAAAGAGAATACACATTTGCATGATAAAAATCTTGCTCTGTGCAACTGTTCAGAAACTGGGAAAAGGCTTCATATGAGAACATCCATAGGACGCTCCCTGAGCAAATTAATTAGAACTTGTGATGTCATTGTCAAAACCCTTCTCACAGGCTAATAAAACCCCTGATTATCCAAAGACTTGGCTTATCCAAAATGGGGTCATGTCATCTGGCCAGGACCAAGTGTATTAAACTAGGCAAACTCCAGTTTATCCAAACGAATGTAATGTCCTCTATGTCATTTGGATGAACGAACTTCCATGGTGTCTGGCGTAGGGGCTCTGTCGAGTGCCTGAACACGTGCACATTCTGAGGCTGCTCAAGGAGCAGGAAATTAAAAAGCTTCCCCTGAATGTTGATTAGGGGTTCCACAGGCCAATATCATAGAACTATTTATTTATTGAGTTACTAATTTCTTAGGCCTTCCAACAATAATAGTTGAGCTTCCAGTTACTTTTTTTTTCTTGAAATCTTCTATTTTAGTAGTGGTTATCTGGAGTAAAATATAGGGAAAAGGCTGTATTTTAGGTCTCCAAAATATGGAAGCGATACCAAGAGGTATTTTTGTGTTTAATTTTATGCACTATAAATTCATATACTTCTTGTTTATACTTTATTCCTAATAGAGCTTTTGGATGCTGAGAGGAGTTTGTATATCGATATGACTTACATGTATTAAAAATCTAGAGTCATTAACACTTTAGAGTTTTGGATTTTGATATTATTTTACCCTAAGTTTCTGCTCCTTCAGAGTGTGAGAGTCTTAGCCTGTGTTCAAAACAAGATGTGTTTCCAGCCTCTGGAATATCAGGAAAAAAAATGCTCCAAGCATATCCTGAAGGTTCCAAAAACAAAAGGCTAATGCTGCTGCTGTTAATCCTGTTAGATCAAATCCAGGCTCCAGTGGAAAAAAAGTGACAAACCTTTCCTAATTCCAGTGGGACCAGGAGTTCACACCTGAATTTTTTTTAAGTTGTGTTTTTTTTTTTTTTTTTTGAGACAGTCTCAGTTGAACGGGTCTCTGAATTTGGAGCTTCTGAGTCGTAATTTTTAAATGCTTAGGGTTGGGCAATAGCGTAAATGCGCAGGGTTTAGACTACTGTAATAAGAACCTTCAAAGGTTAAAGAAAACATTTGATTTCCAGTAAGTGGCATGGTAAACATGTACCATAATCTGTTTCAAAAAGGTATTAGTCCTGAAACAGCAGGGTGTCCTTTCTAATAAACATTATCTTTTTCCTTTCATGACTGCATAGATTATCCTTCACTCTATGCATAAGTATCAGCCTCGTGTTCACGTCATCCGAAAAGACTGTGGAGATGATCTGTCCCCTGTCAAGCCTATCCCTTCAGGAGAAGGGGTGAAAGCCTTCTCCTTTCCAGAGACAGTGTTCACTACTGTCACAGCGTACCAAAATCAACAGGTAACTTGGACTTTCTGCTTAGCGCTTTTCAGGCTTTTCAGACTAGACCAGGAAAGTAAGAGACAGGAGAAAAGTGGATACTTTAATTGTACCGCTAATTAAAAAGCATCGTCTAAGCCCTTTCCGTATTACAAGTAGCTTTCACTAGTAATATTGCAGCAGCGCCTGGAGGCTAGAGCTGAGACTTCAGGCCATGTGGGCTAGATGCTGCTTGTAAAAGGTTGTTCTTATTATGGAGATCACACAGTATAATTAGCATAGTTAATGGTGTCTTAATTATAAATACAGCATTGAAGCACAAGGCCAAGAGCAGTCTAATTTTTAAAGGTGTTTTTGTACCTTTAGGTGTAAATACATGTCTGGATAGAATTTTTAAAGCACTCTTGTTCCTGACTCCAGTGATTTCAGAACTCCCAGGACCTTGACAGAGAAGCTGAGGTCTGAAGGAAGTTGCAGTCGTTTTCATTAACTGCATTCAGCCTATATTATTAACTACAATTTATCTGGGTACACACAGATTCAAAGTCAAAAGTAAACTGCAGGTTGCGTGACTCCAGTGTTTGGCTCTTACTACCACATGTTTTAAGTATTAACATACGTAGTGACACCATAGTTAGTGTTGTGACATTTTATTAATGCCATGTAAGTTATTGCAGCTATATTTTTGGAAATTATATAGGCCTTGCTATCTTTATAAAGAGAAGAGCAGGAGAGCCATGTAAATACTGAAATATAATTATTTGGTGCCTATCCCATTTATTTAAATAAATTACAAGTATTTGGGGGGGGGGAGGTTGCTGTTTTTTTATAGGAGATAATAGCCTAGAGATAATATCTCTTTTCTCATTTCCTTCTTGACCTGTATAGAAGTAAAATTTAATTTAAATTTTATTGTAGTTAGTGCACTCTCTTAGGTGAAGAATGACATTTGCCAGAAGATTTTTCTCAAGAATTCCAACCTGCCATTTGGTAGCATTAAATATCTATTAGCTTCTCTGGGGATTTGCAAAAATAATGATCAGAAGGCTGGCCCTTATTTTGCTGTGTTTCGGAACAACCATCTTAACCCATGCAAATATGAAGATGTTTCTATTCCACTGTGGGCTTAATTCTGTCAGGAGAGTAATTTTGTGTGTTACTTAGCTGAATTTGCAGGTAATAATTTCTCTAATCATGTTCACAGATAACTCGTCTGAAGATTGATAGGAATCCATTCGCCAAAGGGTTTAGAGATTCGGGACGTAACCGGTAGGTGTTGGGGAAGGAGGTGGGCTTCTTACTGCTGACAGAATCGGTTTGTGAAGGCTGATTGAGAGTAATACCTGTATTTACAAACAAATTCATCTGAGGACTCAGGCTCCTTGAGGGCGCACTTAGGTTTCCCAGTAATGTTCTCTGCAGTGGGCTCCTGTTCCTACTCCTCTGGCAGTCTGGGTCTAGAACAGGTTGGCACTTGGCTTGACTCACGTACTCAAGTTTCCTTTTGGTGGAAGTGGTGGTATACCATGAAGGTTGCAAATGGAATTAATGCATACTCAGGTCTGTGATTTCAGGCTGCTCCTGAAATCTCCTCTTTCTCCTGGCTGGAGACAGAAATTACAGATACCAGTGTCAAACTATAAGCCCCGGTTCTCTTACATGTAAGTGGCATTTACTATGGATGAGGGGCTCGTTGTTTTCTCTTAAAAGAGGAGAAACTAAGTCACCTGGTGCAGTAACCTTGTGTTTAGTACACTTGCCTAGGAGGTGGGATACCTGTGTTTAAGTGTCTCTTTAGCCTAAGGAGTTTTAAATCCACTTCCTAGGTGAATGCCTTTCCTACTGGGCTATAGATGACCTTGAAATGAGACTGTTTTCCACCTCTTCTGTTGCGGTTGGGCTGATTAATTGCTTGCTCTCTCTTGATCCATGAATCTTTCAAAATAGCAATGGGGAATCTGAGTAGTGCAGAGGGGAGTCTTGGGTCTAGTCGCTGCTGCCGGTACTGATGAGGTATTTTATCCAAAGACTGTTTAATGCAAAATACTTAAGCCTGTTATGAATTGTATGTTAAACCATTTCAGCTAAAAAAAGCAGCATTTAATTGTGGTGCATATTATACATCAGTTCGAATGACCACATTGTGTTTGGTGTCTACAGCTGCTATATTTATGGCCTAGCCTTGCAGAGAAGGGAGCAGAATGTGTGCTGGTAGGAATGCGCAGAGAGTATCTTTTGGTAGCTGCTTTATTGAGCTTCTCTCTTAGCAGAGGCTACAGCATTAAAGCCTGTTTCGTGCTTCCACACAAGTTACATAAATGCCGAGACTGGACAGCAAACAAGAGCAGTTTTTAGAAGATAAACAGTTACAGAAGGGGTGGGGTAGTTGTAAAGATTTACAGGAATTCACTGTAAGTATCTTTTCAGTTTGCTCTCTGCGTTTGCTGCTTTCTTAAGATTTTTGTCTTCTAGCAAGAAACAATTGGCCATGCTCTGTCCTGGGACCTGGAAGGGATGCCCCAGGCACCAGCATAAATAGAGTTTTGTCCTCCTTTGCAGCCTTCTGGTTTGAAGTTAAGTGAACGGTAACTTCCAGATTAATGCAGTGACTGAAGAAGCAAAACATACTGTGTGTACTTGGGGAAGAGAAGAGTTACCATACATGCCCCATTTGACAGCTCTCCATAGACAGTGTCTCTGCTATGCATGCTTTTTGCAGAGCTATAAAATAAGTACTAAGGACCCTCCGAAGAAGGGTGAAACCCTGACTCCTCTGAAAATTCTGAGTTTAAATGGAGCTGGAAGTCCTTCCATAACATTATATGAAACGAGAGAAGATGCCCTTGAAAATAGAGAGGAAAGAATCGTTCAGAAAGCAATTTTGAATGGGATTTAATGTGGAGGACAGCCCTGATATTACCTGAGGATGATGTAGGTGCTGCATCTGCACCCATGCAAATCCAGTTGTTGGACTGGGCATATCCAGAGAGGTGTTTTGGTTTGGCTGCTAGGAATAAGTTTGGTTCGGGCATTAGAAAAAAAGCAAGATATTTTAATGGAAGGACAGTTATAATTTATGGAAATGGATTAGGAGGCCAGTCCTGTAGGAAGGGCCAGCCTCTGTAAAATGTTTCGAAACTGGCTTTAGGTGAGGTCTGAATGCTTTTACTCTAACAAACACACTCATTACAGAAGTGACTCCGTAAACTCTCCTCCATTGCAAATTGACATTGGTTTACTGAAGTCAGTATTGCTGTTTTCTGTGGTAGGCTCTGTGGTACTGAGTAAGTGTGTTTGGGAGCACAGCTCGGGTTTTTAATTGTCGAGGAAAATTTCTTTTAAAATTTAAATTACTGGTTTACTCAGTTGATTAGTAATTCACTCTGTTGCTGAATACCGAAATTGAATATTAAGATTCTGTTTGCTTCATTGTTCTAGGTGGTGTATTTATCACCGAGGCATTTTAGTCTGCAACAAAATTGTAAAAAAAAATTAAAAAATACTGTGGTACCATTATATCCAGCTTTTCAATATTGCTTTAATTATTGCAGCTATCTTACTCTGCACCGCTGCATACAATAATTCTGTTTAATTAAAAATATTCCCTTTCAGGTCATTCCTGTTCAATCCCACAGGCTATTTTACAGAAATCAGTAGCTTCACCTTTTAAAGGCATTCCCTGTGCATTTGCAAAGTGCAGCAGAATTTATGTGCTGAGAATAGTTTCATTCTTCAGTTAGGCCTTAAGTTTGACCCTATAAAAACTTTTACTCAGGAAAGGACCAGAATTTCTCCCTTTAAATACTTCAGGAAAAACATAACTGTTTGGTTAAATAAACTTGGCCATTTGATAGCGTAAATTAGGGTGGTGATAAAATGTGGAAATTGTTCGAAGGCATCTTGTATAAATTATCACCTTGGCTACACTCCTCCAGGAGGTGGCTTTTATCTCTGCTTTAACTAGAAATGAAAATTCACCATTACTGCAGAAAATGAAGGCTATCTTTTTAGTCCAGGTTCAGCTAATAAATACTTTATAAATGTTTCCTGACATACATTTGTGATCCTGCTGGAAATTCAACGGGGAAGCAGCAGTATGAGAGGAACATGTTGGTAGCTTCAGATTGGGCTGTTTGCATAATTCGAGTTTACAGACTGCAGCTGCTCAGAGGCAAGCACTTGTATTTGGTGTGTGCCTGATGCTGACACTTGATGGGCCTTTGGAGCCCAGCAGCCAAAAATAACAGCAAAATTATACCTCTGAGTTGCATTATTCATAAAATTATGTCAGAAAACAAATGAGCCTTTACCTTCAGGAAATATTCTTCTAAATACTGTCTGCCACAATTGTCTACCCAGTTATTTCTACTTTGTCATGACACCGTTGAAAAAAAAAAAAAACAAAAGATTTTTAGTTTCTGAAGGCATTTTGTTCAGCACATAATAACGAAGACACAACATTGCTTTATACATTTTAGTAGCAAAAGAGCTGTACACCCACGCCTTACTCATGTTGTAAGCATGATTTTCCAACTCATCGGTAATGACTGGCAATCTTGTTTTAACAGAAGTTGTCAGTGGATCACCTTTGTTCTAGGCAGAAATAGGAGATCATCCCTCTGGCAGTTAGACGAGTTACTCTTAAGGAAATGTCATACTAGGAAAACATTTAACGTGATTTTAGCCAAGTCTCCCCCCTCAAACAGCCTGCCCAAAAAGGCTAGAATTACTGAAATAGAGAGCCAGACTTGTGGAATTGGGAAGCTCTTTGCATGCTGCCAGCCCAGTGGCTGCAGGTCACAGTGATCTTGCGGATAAGGATGTAAGGCTCTTTTCTAAAAAGCAAAAAGGAACTTCAAAATAATCCTGAGATGTTAGTAAATTTTATATGTTTCTGAGGTAAAGTATCCAGAGACATGTGACAAAATACAGCTTTCTTTCATGACACCATGATGTTTTTGTTCTAAATAGAATGGGACTGGAAGCTCTCGTAGAGTCTTACGCCTTCTGGAGACCTTCACTGAGGACACTTACTTTTGAAGATATACCTGGGATACCCAAACAAGGTAACGGTCTTCTTTGTGTTCTTTCAAAACAAAAATGCACGAAGATAATGCTTTGCCCATCATGCTTTGCAAAAGTCTAGGTAAGTGCATCACCTTAAGAGGAAAAGCAACCAACCGACCCCAGTGCAGGCCGTCACCTCTCATCAGAGTTATTCTAAGTTAGAAAACTAATGCTAACTTAATCACTGTGGCAATAAAAATGTTAGGTTGTAAAGATAAATCAGATCATATGTGGAGGAGAATACCAGTTATTTAAGGGTAGAATAATCTATTCCTTAGTGTTATGCTCTGGCTAGATAGACAAGGTAGAGAGCATTCATAGATGACTTCATTTTACACATCCAAATTCCAATGTAGAAATTACTTGTGTGTTTAAGAGGGGAAAAAAAAGGAATGAGAGAAGAAATATGCTCTTAAGTAATGAATAAATAATAGCAAGCTTAATTGGGTTTCTTCCTTGGAAAGCCTTCTTGATTCTTAAAGACCTAAAAATTGTTCAGTAAAAGTCCCAACAAACTTCATCTGCATCCTCGAGCTTGAAAAAACAGACCTCCTCTCCATTTTTCTTTTTCCTGCTCCCCAGTCCATAACCTCTTGATTTCCGCTTTCCCCGTCATACAGGTAGTGCTGTGAGGGAGAGAGATATTTACATGGTCTGTTTGGACAGAAAGGGCAGTCTCTCTGCTCTTTTCTGAGTTCCTGTATTTCCAAAGTACCCAAATGCATATAGAAAATGTCTCGGCCTTTTCCCAACTAAGTCAGACATATTGCTCTTGATTCTTCACATTTCTTGCTTCCAAATTTACAGATATCCTACTGCTCGCCTCGGCCTTTTCCCAACTAAGTCAGACATGTTGTTCTTGATTCTTCACATTTCCTGCTTCCAAATTTACAGATATCCTACTGCTTTCTTGATAATGTATTGCAAAGTCATTAAGCATCTTCAGAGCAAATATCCAGAAAATATGGAAATACACAGAAATCACTTTTGTCAGCTTCTCCTTAGCCCACTCCTTTGAGAAATCTTGAGCATCAGTGCTTGATGTGGGCAATTAAAAAGGAGTTTTTGTGCCAGGTAATGGATACGTTGGATGAGGGTTGGCAGAGTTTTGGGCGGAGCATGGGGGTGAGGGACGATCCTCATAAGAAAGACCTCTAATGAGAAGTCAGCATCAAACCTGAAATACCTTGTCAGGCTGCGTAAGACTGAAAGGCAGCTCACTATGAAGTTAATCCATCTAGGAGACAGACCAGCTGTATTGCCCTGTTTGTGTGTAGCAGCACTGTCTGAGAGCAGGGGAACTGCTGCCATGAACTTCCCGCTTCCTTTTCTGCTCTTGCCTGAAGTTAAGGAGCTTCTTGAAGTTAATGTTGATGTTCAGAGGATGGGAACTGGGATCCTTGCAAAATCTTGAGTCGTCTATACCTTGCAGAGTAGGGTGGTTTAGAGACTTGCTGAAAGACCCTGTTAGAAATTTGTCCTGGTTGTTAATGCTGGAAGTGCCCATCTTCAGCTAGTAGAGGTGTTGATGTAGACTGAAAGAAAAATAAGTATGCCTGACAAAAGGATTTCTGGAATGCGGTAGTGTCTCATGGTGCTTTGATCTTGTGGTGTCCTGTCAACAGAGCAAGAAGCAGCAGGCAGAGTTCACTAATAATATATTTTTACTAGCTCACCTATCATGAAAACCTGTTAACTTATTGACAGCATGTATCTCTTTGCAGCATCAAGCTGTTTGATTGTTAATGTGATTCACAAACAGGAGAGTCTTCCTTGTTAAGTGCCTTCTGCCTGGGAGACTGTGAAAGGCCCAGATTAGTTTTTCTACGCTCATTTTTCGGGCAGATAGAATCTCTAAGAAAAGGAAGTGTTTCTTGCAGCTGGGAAATTTTCAGTCCTGAGAAAAGGATTCACCTGTAGCAAACAGTATGTTTTCAGGAGCGTTCAACACTGGTACTTGTCGTGTAGAAAGTTCTGGTATCAGTAAATGAATGGTTTGCAAACAGTTTGCTGCAAACCTAAACCTCCACCTACCTGTTCAAGAAATGAAGCAGCCGTGCACAGTACTCAGCCTACACTTTTCCTGAAGTTCTTCTGAAGTTTTGTTCTCAAGTTTTTTTGGTTTGAAGTTGGAAGTTTTTTGTTCTGAAGTTTTGTTCTGAAATTTTGTTCTGAAGTTGTGAACTTCCCTGAAGCTGTTGAACTGTGGGAGCCTCTCTCATTTGAGCTAAGGAGCCGTTCCTTAGCTGGTGCTCTGACAGTGACAGTCGGGCACGCGCTCTGGGGTGGAACAAGAGCATAGACAACACAAAATTCTTCATTTTGAAGAAGGCTTCCTGTGATGTGGTACTCGCTTGGCTAAACCTTAGCTGCCATGCAGTTTCCTTCCAGTGTCAAATAAAGAGTAGTTAACCTTTTGGGCAGGAGCTCCAAGTATTGAGTTATGGTTGCAAAAGCCTAACTTACGTTTGTTTTCTTGGTCAGGTTGTTTCTTTCAAAGTATGCCTGTGCCATACACACACACCCTCCCTGCACATGTATGTACAATATTTTTTGAATGAATTTGGGTCGTGTTTCATGTCGAGGGTTATTATAAAAGACAAAGGTCTTGATCTGTCACCTAGGAAGTGATCCTTTCCCAACATGCTTCTGACACTGTAATATTTTCTTCCAGGAAATGCAAGTTCCTCTACTTTACTCCAGGGATCTGGCAGTGGAGTGCCATCTACCCACCCTCACCTGTTGCCGGGTTCCCCTTGCTCCTCTCCAGCCTTCCATCTCAGTCCCAACACTAGCCAGCTCTGTAGCCTTGCTCCAGCTGACTACACAGCTTGTGCCCGCTCAGGCCTGACCCTGAACAGATACAGCACTTCTTTGGCTGAAACCTACAACAGGCTCACAAACCAAACCGGTGAGACGTTTGCACCCCCGAGGACTCCCTCCTATGTTGGTGTGTCGAGTAGCACAACTGTGAATATGTCTATGAGCGGCAATGATGGGGATGCATTCAGCTGCCCGCAGACTGGTTTATCAATGCAGATTTCAGGGATGTCTCCGCAGCTCCAGTACATCATGCCATCCCCATCCAGCAATGCCTTTACCACTAACCAAACCCACCAAGGCTCCTACAACACATTTAGGCTGCACAGTCCCTGTGCACTCTATGGATATAACTTCTCCACATCCCCTAAACTGGCTGCCAGTCCTGAGAAAATCGTTTCTTCCCAAGGAAGTTTCTTGGGGTCCTCGCCAAGTGGAACCATGACGGATCGGCAGATGTTGCCCCCCGTGGAAGGAGTGCACTTACTTAGCAGTGGGGGGCAGCAGAATTTCTTTGACTCTAGGACCCTAGGAAGCTTAACACTCTCATCTTCTCAAGTGTCTGCACATATGGTTTGATGAAGCCTTTAAGTAAAAGTACGGTATGTTTGGTGTCTACAGTGTATTTCTTTTGGAATATGAAAGGACACTTGATGTAGCTTGTAAAGTGTGTGTGTATATAATATGAGAGGAAGTTTCACTGAATTTTTGACTTGCTTGTGGCCGGATTATTCTCCTATTTTGAGTTACACAGAGTGCTGCGGCGCAGACTGCTTTAGTTTTCTGGTATAATACACTTAGTTGTATAACACGTTGGGACATATGCAACAAATTAAGCAAGACTTCCTCCCCTTTCCCCCTCCTCTGTTCTGACTCCTTTAAAGAATGAAATGACACGGGGAGTATTAAACAACACAAACAAGCCCACTTATATTTCCTACAGTACTGGTGAGTTTCTTTAAAACATTTGTACCACAATAAGCTGATGCACCAAAGGCATTTTACAAGTTACTTCTCTGTTATAAGGGATATGAAGGGTATTTGGACTTTTAAGTGTTAAGTGTCAAGCATCTAGCCTAAAATAGAAGTTTAGCTAATGGATTATTTGCAAAGTAAATGGAAAGATTAGTTTGGCTTCTCATGATAGGCTGTTTTTAGCTTATCAACAGTACTGCATTCTTACTAGGATTTTTCTTTTCAGCATTAGTCTAAATTTGTGATTAGATATTTGAAGACAAATAATGCATATTCAAATTGTGGTGATAGGAATAATTTAAATCAACAACAGAAGAAGCAGCATTCCTTGGTACGGAGTGAACTTCGGGGTGCTTCATTTTTGTCAAAGGAAGGGCTCGATGCATTTTTTCTTCCATAAATATTGCCTATAAGACATTTACTGGACAGTAGGATATTCTAATGTATCTTTGTGTTTGTATTTTTACTTAAAGGAAAATGCAGGTTTGATTTAGGGAAAAAAAAGGGCAAGCAGGATGAGAAATTCCATTAGTGGTTTTACCCGTTTGTGTGTGTTAGGTTTTGTGTTTGATTTTGTTTGGTTTTTTTTTTTAAAATAAGGGCAAAAGGTTCTCCATCCTCAGTATCTCATAAACACATCTGTATCAATCTGGCAGATGACCCAGTTTGCCCGTAAGTGTTTCTGGAAGCAGAACTTTGTCATAACTGCCTCCCTGCTGCTCTGTTTCTCAGTCAGTTTTTGCCCTGGCATTGCAGAGGTTCCCTTCCTTCCCAGCTCTGGTTTTAAATGGCACTTGTAAGAACGCAGATCACAACTGCTCCTGACCAGGCTTCTCCAGAGTGACAAGGACACGGGGTGATACTTGTCATGGTGAAATTTCTGCCCTCATCTGCACCTGCACAGCCCCAGTGTGTAGCAGTCCTGCTGTGAAAGCTGCCACTCAGCTGCCCGCCTGTCGGAGCTGAACCGTGGAGGTTGTGGAACAGATTTTAATGCTTGAGAGAGTGCGTCGTCTTCAACAGAACGCTAAGGCTCCTTTGTATTGTGCAGGTGATGTAAAGGCATTATAAAGTGGGTACAAATGTAGTTGAAAATGCTTCCCTGGTCAGTATTGAAGGAGAATAAGGCCTTTCAGATTTTATGTTTTTCCTCTGTTAGATTTTTTTTTTTTTTGGTGAAGATGGATTGTCGTGTTTCGCAGGTGTTCCTAGGTCTTTTCTGGCAAAGTGGGCTTAGCCACACCCACTTCAAGAAAGACTTATGGTAACTGATATTTCTTCAGTGGGATGGAGATAATGCATGCAGAAACAGCCCTCTCGCTATCTCCTCTTATTATTTGGGAATAAAAGGGAAAACACAGCAGTCTGTAAGCCTGTGCCTGCAGAAGGCTTTATTTCTATTAGTTACATATTTGTTGATGTTAAAGAAGACATATAGAAAGTTCTCATTCAAAGCTGGAAAGACAAGAGGATGCAATTGAGGAGTTGTGGGTTTGCTTCTTTGCTGTCTCCAACTTCACAGGCGACCTTGGGCAATTCACTTAGCCTCTCTGTATCTGATTTTTTTCGTTCTGTAAGAAGTGATAATAGCACTTCTCTGCCTCACAGGAAGGGGTGACAGTACACTGAAGGTGAAGGTCATCTTTATTTCTGCTGTACTGTGGACAGTACATTACAGGTGATTGGCTAGGTAGTGTTCATGTGAGGGTAACAAAGAGCATTCACGTACTTCAGGTCTGTCGCTAGTTTTGGCATTGCAGTGTCCTTTGAGGCAGACCTCCTAGCAAAGACCTGCAATGCTAAAAACACTATTCGAAAACCTCACAGTAACGATTTGTGAAATGGTTCTAAGATATGTAGAAGATGAGCAAATTGTCAGTTATGTAAATTGTCATAATTCTATTGGTTTAAATTAACAAGAAACTTGTGTATAGTAATTCCCGCTGTAGCCAAAAGTTTGAAATATTGCAGTTGGACAAATCTTTAAATGGGAAGCATGGTACAATTAATCTGTACTTGAAAAAGGATAAAGGTAACTATCCATGTCATCTTGAGGGCTGTGACTGGGTAGAAATGTGGAAGAGCTAGATCACGCATGTTCCTCCTGCAAGGGGGGAGAAAAGGGCTGTGCATGGATGTTCATGGAGGTGCTCCTGGCAAGAGTATGTACTTTAATGTCTGGGAATTTTTTTAGAACTGATCTCTTATTTTTCTTCAAATTATTTTTATCATATAACCACACAATATTGTTTGAAACATTTGTTCCTTAAAATTTGAATCCTATTGTAAATACTTACTGGTGTGTCATTGTGAAAAGACTAGCTTTTTATCAATATAGTAAATGCTATATGTGCATTATATCTATAATTATATATCTGTATTTTACAAAAATGCCACAGAAAATATATTAAAGTGTGTATTCAAACACTTTTTACTACATTTGGAAAATTGAGGGGTTTGGGCCTTTTTTGTTCTCTACAACTTCAGCAAGACCCAAGGAAGTGACTCTGAGGTAAGCTATGGAATTCAAAGACTTAATACAACAAGTTGCCACGACCCAACTCGTCCACTAATTCTTACATAGTTCAGTTTAACCATCTGCTGTTGAACCTCTCTGTTACTTGTATGCAAAGGTCGTGACAGATGTTGGGTACAAAGAGATGCTGAGGCTGATAGCAGAGCTGTGAGGTTTTTATGTGGGAAGAAGGGACCAGGCAGCTTGCTGGGCTCATCCACCGGTGATGGAGCTTTGCTGGTTCCTCATAGCCCAGCTCATCTCAGCTGCCAAGACGAGTTTAGCTGCCCCGTATCAGGCAGATGTGGGAAGTCAGGACTTCCATGTGACTGGGTGCTTGAGCAGGAGCTCAGTACCCTGCGTATTTTTTTCTCTGTGATCTTTCTTTGGTCATTACCTCTCTATTCTGCTTATTCTAAATGTAAAAATCCATGGATTCCTAGGGCACAATTTACAGCCTGTAATCAGATGGGTATACTGTTACTCAGCAATGAGCAACATTTCTCCCCCCCGAAATACTGTTATGTGCAGTGGCCTTATGTTCTTTTGTACTGCTATAAATGATTCCATCTGACATAGGGCACAGGGCCTGAAAATCCGATTGCTTTAGAGACTAGGGTTTCATAGTCACTTAACACTAGCATTGTTGCAAATGACCAGAATTAGGGCAAGAGAAGTAGGCATGAAATGCTTGATCATAAATATCAGGCCTCAAGAGAGAATGAAAGCTCCTGTTTTTAATAAGGGAAGAGCCTTTTTTGGAATAGCGCAATCAGACTCTGAGAAGGCTCGTTTCCACTTCAGCAGAGGACAACAGAAGCAACTTTAAAATTGTGGACAGTGTTGGCATTAATGCTAGCAAGTCTGTACCGTGAGTAGTTCAACAGAAGGAACTTAAATCGTCATCGGATGTAGCTCACAGGTTCTGTGGGTGTATTTTTCCTGTAAAGACAGTATATCTAATTTGTATAGAAATGTGTTTAAGAAGGCTGAAGAGTAGCTACTTTTAGAGGTTTGTGTACCAACTTCACATACGAAATTACCATTTTATTGTACTCTTCCGAATACTCTGTCAAACTCTCATGACATTAACGTTCAAATTTACTTCAAAGTCCAAGTTTTAATATCAATAACTGCAGTTCATCATGAAGTAATGGTTACTCTTTGTGGGCTGAGTCTGCACTTCAGCTGACAAAATACATTGACTTGTCAGTTGAGCTCTTCATTAATGTGATCCTCAGATTCAATATTTTGCCTTGTATTTAGCACAGTTGTTGATCTGTCAATTTAATATATGCCAAACTAGAAGAAAATCCATGTTCTGCCTTATGTTCCACCGTATTCCTCAGTTAACCAGTGAATTCAGAACACTGACATACCAGGATGACACACACTTTTAAGAGGTGATATCTTTGCTTTAAATGCTTTTTGGCAGCGCTGCTATGTTCATGCCCTGAAAAGGTGTTTGTTACCCAAAAAAGCAGAAGTCCTATACAGCCACCGCTCACTCTTGCAAAGCAATGTTGAATTGGCCATAAAACTGTCCTGCATAGTTTGGTGCCCGGAGCCCAGACAGAGCGGATCCAGCAAATGAGAATCTGAATCTTCTGGACATACCTGGAGGAAGATATGGGCCTGAATTAGTGATGGTTTTATCTATTGTATTTATTCAATCTGAATCCTCTTCATCTGAAAAGGCTAAAACCAAAGCTTCGTACAGGAATTTCTAGGTCTTTCCTTGCCAAACATAGCCTGCTGCAGGCTGGCTGAAAGCTGGTCCCTTCTTGAAATATCGTCACTGTTCCAGTTGCTCCCCTCCTTTAGGCTCTGCTTGCAAAACCACCGGACAGGTTTGCAGGGGAAGAGCTCAGTACTTGCTCCACCGTTAGTTATTTATTACCCTGAAGTATACTTCTACAGCAAAGACTCATTACCCACAGTAAAGTAAGTAATCCTACTAAATGTGAGCCATGGTGTTTGTCTCAATTTTAGAATTTGAAGTCTGTAAAGTAAACATTTTTAAGATGTGTCGGTAAATCGGAAGGTCAGTACTGCTATCAGGAAAATAGAAATATGGTGGGCAAATAGAAGTGTTCTCGTGAAATTTATTTGCCTGTCACCTGTTCAGAGGTTTATGACCCTTACATAGTTAATATCTCACATCTTCACGAGGATGAACATTAAACCTCC